GAACCCTCTGTGGGACCCGCTGCCCGTCACTGGGGTTCAGAGTCCCCGCGGCTTCCCTGGCCTTGGCCCTGGAGATGGGGGCGCTGGGGAGCAGGGGATGAGAGCAGGATGCCCGGGACCTGCCCCTGGAACACCGTTTCGGGGGAATCCAGAGACGCCCAGTAACTAAGAGCTGTGACGCCCGCCTGACACACTCGGAAACATCTGAAGGAATGTGAATCCACACGAACAAACTGCAAGGCCCTGGGGCCAACTGGGTGCCTGGCCCACACTGGGCACCCGACACCATCCCTCAGGGCACCCTAATACCTTCCCTCAGGGCACCCTGACACTGTCCCTCAAGACCTCAGAGCATCCCCAAAGTTCCTCAGGGCACCCCAACACTGTCCCTGAGATCCTGGACACTCCCTCAGAGCACCCAACACTGTCCCTCAGTGTCCTGACACCGCCCCCCCCCCTCAGCATCCGGACACACTGCCCCTCAGGGCACCCCGACACCATCCTTCAGGTCATTCAGACACCATCCCTCAGAGTTCCCCAACACCATCTCTCAAAGGACCCCGACTTGTTCCTCAGGGCACCCTGACACTGTCCCTGAGCGTCCCTCAGAGCATCCCAATGCCGTTCCTCAGAGCACCCTGTAAGTCTCTCAGGGCACCCCAACACTGTCCCTCAGAGCGTCCTGACACACCGCCCCTCAGGCACCCCAACACCACCCTTCAGATCATCTGAGCACTGTCCCTCAGAGCACCCCGCGACGGTCCCTCAGAGCCCGGACTCGCCCCCCCTTGTTCGCTCTCCCTGTGGCCGGCGTCGCTGGCGTCTCCCCGCAGCAGTTCCCTCCAGGCCCCCAGGGAAGCGGGGCCTGAGGCCACCAGGGGGCGCCCCCGCCCTTCTGGCCGCGGCCTGTCACCCGCGCGCGGTCGCCGCGAGTTTCTTTCACTCAGGCGCGGTTGGCTGCAGGGGGGTCTGGACGGGGGTGAGGGCGGGCGGGGGCGACGCCCCAGTCCCCCCGACTGTGACCCGGCCCACGGGGGGCGGTGTGGGCACGTGTGGCCCTTCGGGTCACCTTCCCCACCCGGGAGGCTGTGGTTCACGGCGGGTCACGGGTCACGGGCGGGCGCAACCCCCCTCCCAGCCTTCTGCCCCCTCCCGCGGCTCCCCCCCCCCGACTCTGACTCCAGGGGGCGCAGGGACAGGAGCTGCCGCGGGGACGGTCCCCCCTCTGCCCTGGGCAGGGCAGGAAGGTCCTAGGCTCCAGGTGAGGGAGGGGGTGTCCGGAGCCACCCAGTGGGGGCGGGAGAGACCAGGGGCAGCTGCCCGGGCCGGGCAGGGCTGTGGGGTCCCCGCGGGGAGGTGGGTGCCCTTTCACAATGATGCCCGAGTCCCCTCGTGCTCCTACTTGGTCCCTGCCGCGGCAGGTGGGGGGCTGGAGGGTCCTGTACCTGGCCTGGGCCTGGGGGGCCTGGAAGGGGGGCGGCATGCAGGTGTCCAGGCACTGGCCAGGACGATGCCCCGAGTCTGGGTGCCCACAGCACACCGACCAGTCTGGGGTCTGCAGGGCAGCTCTGGGGCTCTGCACCCCCCGCAGGGCCCCTCTGATGGGGCTCCTGGCTCTGCGGGGTCCAGCTGCAGCCGCTGGAGGCCTCTCAGGGCTGTCCCCTCCCGGGGCTCAGGGAATGCAGGGGGGCCCCCAAGGCGGGACACACGTTCCCACTTGCACTGGCCCCTAGTTTCTGCTCTGCAGAGCCCCCGAGCTGGGTGGGCCGCTTCTCTCAGACCCAGGGGACCCCCGAGGTGGACGAGGCCAGGGCCGCTTCTGCTTGCAGGGAGGCCCTCCAGGCCGGGGCCTCCTCCGAGAAGCTGCCCGGGCCTGCCCTGCGGGGGTTGGCATGAAACAGTGAAGCTCACGGGCGGGCAGCTTTGTTGGGCCCCTCCAACCGCTTCTAAAGCGCAGTGGACGGTGGGGAAAGTCGCCCGTGTCCGGCTCGTGGCGCTCCACAGAGGGGCCACCAGCCCCCTCCCGAGACTCCAGCTGTGCCTGCAGCACCCGCCGGCCCCTGCCCTGCCGTCGCCCCCCTCCCCACGCCAACCCGCTCCCGCGTCTTGTCTCGGCGCACACGTCCGCCGTGTCTGGCTCCCCGGCCGGCAGCCGCGGGGTTATTTATATCTCAGGCCCCGCAAGCCGTCCCGCGGAATCTGGGAGAGGCTGCACCCGGCGGGTCCCCGAGGGGGGGGTGGCTGCCAGGAGTGTGGCTGCCCCCGTGACCCGTGCCCCCCGACCTGAGTGCTGCCCTCACCCTCCTGCTTAACTGCCCCGTGCAGTGGATGGGACTTGATTTCACTGCGTGTCAGAGGCAGGACATCATATGCAGGGGCTGACGCGTTGCACAGCAGGACGCTTGACTTGTGTGCGGCCAACCCGGGTCCGGTCCCCAACGCCACCTCGAGTCCCCCGAGCCCGCCAGGAGTGGCCCCAGAGCACCGGGCCAGGAGGAAGCCCCGAGCAGAGTCAGGTGAAGTCCAAATATCAAAACATTAGACATTTTTTCAGAAAGAAAATGATATAAAAGACCAATTCCCGCACATGTCACCCAGGTCCCTCAGAACATCCAGGGGTGTTTTGGTGAGGAGAACTCGGCACAAAGAGCACTGGTCACCCGGAAGTGCAGGAACAGTGACGCCCTGTCCCCTCAGCCGGTGGCTGGGCTCCCTCTCCCCGCCCCTCCTCAGTCTGTTTCTGTCGCGGTGACTCGGGGTTCCTGGGGAAGGTCCTTAGCAAGAGCCCCGCCCCACAGTCCCCTGCAGGGTGTCACCTCAGGGCCGCTGCCAGACCGATGCCTGCGGGAGGGTCTCACCCTCACACCTGCCACCTCAGACTGTGGCATTTCAGGGTAAGGGCATCTGTGGGTTCACTCGGGCACCCCTGAGCGCCTGATGGCCTGAGTGGACATGAGCGTTGAGGCCACCTGGGTCAGCCCCGCATCCGGGAGCCAGGGCGGTGGCGATGCCAGCTGACCCCGCGGGAGGGTGGCCCGGGGTCATCACCCCGTCCCAGGGGAGGCGCTAGAGGGTCTGTAGGGGATGAGGGGGGAAGGCAGTGGCCCACCAGCAGGCCTCCATGACAAGCGCAGAGGGGACCCGTCGTTTAGGGTCCAAAGACACGTCCTTTTGGAGAGCGTCACCCACCCTGAGCATGGAGTCTGAGCTCCCGGAGAAAGGTGCCAACAGCTTCCTGGCAGCGGGCCGGGGTCTCACCTGGGACCTGCATCTCCCTCTCGGGAGGCCCCGTCACTTGCCGGGCACGACAGCCCAGAGCTGCTTTGGAACCGGGCGCTCGGACCTTCTCTGCCCGTCCCCGCCCCGCCGGGCCCTGATGCTCTCCACTGGGTTATTTTCCATCCCGCAAAGCAGTGCTCACCTGGACAGCGGGGTCAGTGGCCTGGAGGTGCTTTCTCGTCCTGTCCAGGAGGCGCAGCGAGGTGGTACCCCCTGTGACGCAGCCGTGCTCAGCCCGGGGCGGGGGGCTCCCAGTGACCCCAGGAAGGGCTCCTGGACAGCGGGGGTCAGAGTGGCGAGTGGGAATGGCTGTGGGGGCCACTGTGAGACCACGGATGGGGGATCTGAAGCCCAGGGGGCAGCGGTAGGGACAGCCCCGGAACGCGCTGCCTGTCCACCCCAAAGGGAGCATCACCGCGGGGGCAGGGGACCGAGCCTGGACACCCGATGCCCCTTAGCTGAGAAACACCTTTGCTCTAGAGCTGCTGGCTCCTGGCCAGTCTGTAGTGGCTGCCCCCCTCCCCAACACAGCTGAGGGCCCACCCTCCCCCCACTGGAGGGCCTGGAGGAAACTCAAGGCCAGACAGGCTGGAACTGCAGCCTGAGAAGATGCAGGGCCCAGAACACGGGCAGAAGAGGAGGGAGGGATGGCCGTTGGGCCCACGGCCGCTGCGCTATGTGGACAGTGGGCTCCGTGGCTGGCGGGTTTTATGGTTGTGGGCTCCGTGACGGGTGGGCTTCGTGGCTGGTGAGTTTTGTGGCTGGTAAGCTACGTGACTGGTGTAGTCCCAGGCTGGTGGTTTTGTGGCTGGTGAGTTTCGTGGCTGGTGGGCTCCGTGGCAGGCCCAGGAGCACTGAAGAGGTGATGAGGGAAACCGTGGAATTGGGTGTCAAAGGTCTGAGCCCCTCCCTGCCTGAAGCTGCCCAGTGCGTGATCTCTGCCCTGACGCGCGTCTCCCGCCGTGGCCCACCCGGGTGGCATCCTCACTCCCTGGGCTCTGGCCGCCCCTTCCTCCCTCCCCTGCAACCCAGGACTCAGCCTTGGGGACCTTCCTTGTCATCCCCAGGGAAACTGAGCAGCCAGGAAGGACCCTCAGCCAGCTGGTGCAGGAGGTTTCCAGCCCTGCCCCGTCACCTGCGCCCCGTGCTCCTACCCGTGGCCCGGGCCCCCCAACCCCGTTCCCCAGGCCCTGTACCTCCTGCACTCAGGCTTCACAACCCCCCCATCCACACCCCATTCCCCTCCCCCGCCCCTCTTCCTTTCTCACGCCCCTCCCCCACACCCACACCCAGGCAGGTGTCCTCGCCCGTGACCTGCCATCCAGGGTGCACCTCCAAAGTCTGCTCTGGGGGTGGGAGAGCGCCAGGTCCGGGCAGGGACCCCCACCCACCCCGGCTCTCTCAGTCCCCCAGGCTTCTGGGCGCTCTTGGGGCAACAATGATACCCCCAAACCCTCCAACAGATCAAACGAGGACAAAGCGTTTCCTGTTGGGTGCCCCTGGCTAAGAGTCTCACGATGGCGGCGGGGGGGTGGGGGGGGCATGAGGACGCCCAGAAATGACACGGAGGGACCCAGACGGATGATTCCAACATGAAGTCACGTCAGGGTACACCCACCGCTAGAAACTCCCAAAGGAGAAAACGTTCCTGACAGTCTACGTTGCTTCCCTCCAGCATCAGCCAAGGCGTCTTAGAAGAACCTTCCGGAAGGGAGGGAGGCTCAGTAGATGCCCTGCTCCGGCCAGTCCAGCTGCTTGGCATACGCCCCTTTGCAGCTTCGGATCTGAGAGTCGAGCTCCAGGTACTTGCTCAGCCCTGGCTTCCCCGACCTCCAGCCAATGAAGCCCTGGGTGGTCTCTGGGACAGGGGGGGACGGAAGGATCTAGAACGGAAACACAGGGCCAGACGGGGCGTGAAGGGCGCTGCCCCCACCTGCTCCCCTCCCCCCCGCCACGTGTTCCCTGACAGGTCAGCCCACTCCACACACATCCCCTGCTGGATCCTTAGGGAATGGGACGGCATGAGGAGGGAATTCCCAGACCCTCACGGCAGCCCTCGTGGACCCCGGGGACCCAGAGCTGCCTCCCTCAGTGCTGGGCCAAGGGCAGGCCCAGGACCAGAACCACAGCCCAGAGGCGGCCGGACTGGGTGGGGGTCTGGGCTGCGGCCCCCAATGCCACTCAGAAATGCAGCCCCAGAGGCCAGTTTTGTGGGTTTTGTCATTTTGTGGTTTGGACACACACACACACACACACACACACACACACACACACTCACACACAGGGGACAGGCTAGTGTTTCTGGACAGTCAAGCTTCGCTCAGCAGAGCGGCCGTCACCCCTGGACCTCAGCACACCCGCGCCCGGGCTCTTCCCTGAAGCAGCTACTTCCAGGGCCTGCCGTGCCCATGCAAACGTTAGTGACCAGAGAGGTCAAGTCGCCAGCCCACGAACACACAGGAGATGAGTGGCTGGCAGGGTGCGATGCCAGAATCGGCCTCATCCCCCTGTGTCCCTGCGCATCCGTGTTGCCCGGAGCCCCTCGGTTTCCGGCTTCTGCTCCTGCAGTCACACACCCGGATCCCTCCCACGTCCGGGCTGGGCAAGCGTGTGTGTGTGGGGGGGCGGGACTGGCTCCCCCCCTCCAGCCTGGCCTTGGCGCTCCTCAGTGAGCCCAGTTGGAGGGACCCGGGGGGGGAGGCTCCCTTCTTGGGCAGGAAGGGGGTGTGCGAACCTTGAAGTCCTTCTCCACGGAGTGCACGGGCGGGACGCGGAGATGCTCCGGGAGCTCTACCCGCGGCTTCCCGGGGGCCGGCTCATCTCCCAGGGCCAGCTGGAACGGCAGGGTGGGCCGTGGGACACGGGGCAGAGATGGGGACAGGGACAGAGTCAGGGACGGAGAGGGGTCAGGGACGGGGACCCAGAGATGGAGAGGCCGGGCTGGGTGGCCTTTTCGGCCTCCCCCATGCAGTTACCTCCTCCACGGGGCCGGCGAGGAACCCCCACCTCTGGGCCCAGGACTGCCGGGCCTCCTTCTCAGCCTTCAGGCGGTATTTCCTGCAAGACAAGCGAGACTCTGGGCTGGCGGGGAGGGGACGAGCCAGGCCGGCAGGGGGCGTGAGCGGAGCCTGTGGCCTCAAGAGCAGGCTGAGGGGCTCTGGGCACCAGCCTGTCCTGCGGCGTCACCGCGGTCATGGCCAGGGTGGGATGAGGGTCCTCAGGAGCAGAGCTCCAGGGGCCACGGACCCCCACTGCACCACACAGGCAGGTCACCCCATGGCCACTTTCTTCCTGGGAACATGGTTTATGCCACCAGTAAGGGCAGGGGGGGCGCCGTGCGGAGGGGGCTGCTGGCCCATTTCCCTCCAGACTAGCCCTCCCCGGGCATTCTGAAACCTGCACCCGCGGGGCCTTTGGGTCGCAGTGATTTGCAACCAACAACCCTCGGGACCTTTGGGTCGCAGTGATTTGCAACCAACACCCTGAACCAGGAAGCCGAGCTCGGTGGGAGGGTCAGATGCCAGGGAGACGTGGGCCAAAGGGAGTGGAATAGGCCAGGGAAGGGCAGATGCCAAGGTCAGAGAGCACAGGGGGAGACCTGGGGTTTCCCCCTCCACTCCAGATGGCCCCGAGCACAGCGGGGGCAGGGCCGGCCTAAGCTCCCAGCACCCTGGGTGTGGGAAGGACCACCTGCCTCGGGCCCTGTAGAGTAGGAATTTGGTGTGAGGAGGAGAGGGCATTGCCAGCGGAGGGAACAGGCCTCACCACGCCTTGTCCTTCGGGGCACCTTGATGAAGCACTGTAGCACTGTCCTCCCGTTATTCATCGATTTGCACGAGGGGACCCAGTAACGTCTCCATTGTGAGACTTGTTGTTACTGTGTTTGGCATATCGAATACACCACAGGTAGCTTGCCAGGCTTTTGCCGTGCAGGCAAGATACTCTCGGTAGCTTGCCAGGCTCTCCGAGAGGGACGGAGGAATTGAACCCGGCTCGGCCAGGCCGGCTGCACGCAAGGCAAATGTCCTACCGCTGTGCTATCGCACCTTGATGCAGATAAATTTTTTTTTCTTTAAATTAAGCTAACGTACAAATCATTCCAAAAAACAGGGGCTCCATGAATAAGTGTGGCCTAAAGTTTTCTATAAAGATTGGGCTGGAGAGATGGTCTAGTGTGTCGGGCCAAGCTGGGCCAATCCCAGGTACTCCATAGGGTCCCCCAAGCCCTGCCAGGAGTAATCCCCTGAGCACAGAGCCAGGAGTCAGCCCTGAGCAGCACTGGATGTGTCCACCCAACCAAATTAATGTAGGAAGTGAAACAATGCCAGTTTAAAGAAATACATGAAGTGACTCATACAAATGTTTTTATTGGGGGGGGGGGCACACTTGGTAGTGCTCAGGGCCTATTCCTGCTCTGCACTCAGGGGTCACTCCTGGCCAGCTCCGAGCCCATATGGAACGCCAGGTTTGAACCGAGGTTGGCTGCATGCACGGCAAATGCCGGACGCTGGACCTTCGCTCCGGCCCCATCAGACAAGTTTTATAGGAAGCGCTGAAAGTCGCAGGGAAAGCAAAGAGGTGGAAGAAAGTTCAGAGGCAGCACTGACGCTAACTGCTCCCCACGTTGGGGACCTCGGGGAGACCCAGCTAATATCTGGGAGAATGCCAAGTAAGAACACTGACTGTGAACGTGTGCCCGAGAGAAACGGCCCACGGTAAATCTCACCATCACTGAGCCAAACAGGAAACGTGAGAGTGTCAAGTGCACGTGGATCAAGGTTGGGGAAAAAAAAAGTCAGCACGCCTCTACCATGCCCAGTGGTCCTGCCGACCATCATTTACTTAGTGGTCCCTTCTCCATGACCAAACACGATGACCACTTAGCACCTGTACAGCAAACCATGACACCCCAACGGAGAGAGAAAGAGGGAATGTGCCTCCCACAGAGGCCACGGGGTGGGAAGGGGTGGGGGGAGAGAGAGGGAAACTGGGAACATGGGTGGTGGAGAATGGGCACTGGTGAAGGGGTGGGGGGTCCAACATTGTTTGAATGCACCGCAATGATGAAAGTTTGTAAGTCTGTAACTGCATCTCACGGTGATTCATTAAAATAAAAAATTTTAAAAAAAAAGTTACAGAACTTCAAGCCCACGCAGAAAAAAGTTTCTGTTTTAAATCAACTGCAAACCGTCAGCTTCAGAAGGCACCGAGCTGCCGCGGGTGGGCAAAGCCCCGCGCCCAGCCCCCGGCCCGCGGCCCCTCACCGCCTTCCCCGGAGGCCCCCGCCTGGAGGTTGGGGTGGGCGTGGGAGCCCCGGGCGGCCCCCGGGAGGCTGCCCAGGGTCTCGTTACCAGATCGCGTCCTGGGCCACCAGGTTCATGCGCTCGGCCTCGGCCGTGCTCAGGGGTCTCTGTGCCATGGGGCAGCTCTAAGGCGCCGCCGCGCCCGCCGCCGCCGCCGCCGCGTCTCCCGTCGCCCCGGAGACCGTTGCCTGGCAACGGGGACGCGGAGGCGGGGGCGGCGCACCTGGAGCGCGGGGATGCCGGCCGCGGTGTCCAGGCGCCTCCGCCTCCGCGCCGCCCTCCGAGCGCCTCGTCCACGTGCTGGTCCAGGCGGCGGCGGTAGGTGGGCCGGGGAGGGGGGCGGGGGGGCTTGCCGCTGCCCCCGCGGCCTCCTGTGCTGGGGGCCCGACACGTCTCCCAACCCCACCCCTTGGACGACGGACACCTGCGGGCGTCCACCGTGCCCACCGCGCCTGGACCCTGCGGGCACCCGGCCTCCGGGGTCGCAGCTGGGGGCCTCGCTCGCGGTGCTGGGGTTTGCTGCTGGACCCCGGGTGCCCAGCGGGACCAGCCGCGCAGGGCAGCGGGGAGCTTGTCACGGGCGTTCCCGAGCCCGGGGGGCCTTCCTGGCACCCGCGCCCCGCGGGGTCCCCGTGCAACAGCGCAGATGCCCTGCGGGGGGCTGTCCTTCCTCTGCCAGGCCCTCCGGGGGCGCCCGCTTGGGGGATCTGGTGTGTGCTGCTCCCCCCACCAAGGGGGCCAGCCTGCGGCCCGGGCTCCGGGATGGAGCTTGGTGGAGGCAAGTGCTGGGACGCTGTGGGAGCCCAAGGGTGCCTGCATCGCCTCCATGACGCCTCCATGACGCCTCCATAACGGCTCCATAATGCCTTCATAATGTCTCCATATGCCTCTATGATGCCACAACACCTTCATGATGCCTCCATGGTGCCTTCATAATGCCACCATAACACCTCCGTAACACCTCCATAATGCCTTCATTATGGAGTAGAGCGATAGCACAGCGGTAGGGCGTTTGCCTTGCACACAGACAACATGGTCGACCCGAGTTCGATTCCTCCACCCCTCTCGGAGAGCCCGGCAAGCTACCGAGAGTATCTCGCCCGTATGGCAGAGCCTGGCAAGCCCCCCGTGACGTATTCGATATGCCAGACACAGTAACAACAAAGTCTCCAATGGAGACGTTACTGGGCCCGCTCGAGCGAATCGATGAACAACGGGAGGACAGGGACAGTGACAGTAATGCCTTCATAATGCCTCCATGATGCCACAACACCCCCATGATGCCTCCATAATGTCCCCGTATCACTTCCATAATCACCCCATAACATTTCCATGTCTCCCTAACACCTCCATAATGCTGGGAAATTCACCCAGGGTTGCCCCAACCCTCCTTCCCCGACTCGTGACTGAGCATCTACCTCCCGTGACTGGGGTGCACAACCTGTGCTCATCCACCGACACCCCAAGGCCCCCATGGTCCCAGGGCCACAAATGTGGAGCTGGAAACGGGTCCCTGAGGCTTCCAGGGTCACAAGACAGGGGATTCGGGCGGCGCTGGACCCAGTGTCCAGGACAGCGAGGCCCAGGCAGCCGGGGATAGTGTCCGGAGGTCTGGGGACTGGGATGGGGTTGTGGGGGGCAGTCCTGGCTTCTGCTGCCGGCAGAGGTGGGGGCCAGTGGCAGTGGAGGGTCAGCAAGGCCTCCACGGGCCGGACATGGACTTTCTGCCTCCTTCCCCTCTGTCGGGACACTGGCCAGAGTTTCGGGCCACGGCAGGACGTGTGACTCAGCTGGGCCAACCGCATCCTCCTCTGAGATTTTGTAGACCCGGGTTAGAGACCCGGAAGTTCTTGTTCTGCCCCCACACTGGGACAAGAAAAGCTTGGAGCTGTTTAAGGCCCCTCCCGCCCCCTCTCCTGACTTGCGGGTTGCCCCCCGCAACGCCCCTGGGAAGGGAGGCACTTACGTGTAAACCGGACATGAGAGTTGCAGAGAAAGGCCGGGGAGAAGGGGGGCCAGAGCTCACACACGGCGGGGAGGGCACGGGCCTTGCACACGGCTGCCGGGGTCCCCAGGCCTGGGCTTGATCCCTGACTCCCTCCAGGAGGGATCTCTGAGCACAGAGAGCCAGGAGTAAGCTCTGAGCACTGCCAGTGTGCCCACCCCCGAAAAAAAAAAAACTAAAAAAATGACATTTATAAAAATTGGAGGAGAGAGAGAAGAGGGGAGCCGGGGCGAGAGGGGGAGGAGGAAGGAGAGAGAAGAAGAGAGGGAGAGAGGGAACTGGGAGAGGAAGGGAGGGAGGGAAGGAAGGAGAGAGAAGAGAGGAGGCAAGATCAGAGGGAGCGAAGCAAGCCGGCATCACCGAGCTCTCCCGCTGGGCCCTCCCACGGGTGGGCCCGGAACCGGGAGAGCCTTTTCCTGGGTATCCCCGGACCCCGCACTCTGGGACCCTGGGGGTCTGCAGATGGTTCTGGTCTGGTCTCTCTGCCCACCCCCACCCCTCCTTCACGCTGGAGTCTGGGGAGACTCAGAGAATTTCCTGTGAAGGGCTGAGCAGAAGGGGTTCCCGGGGCCCCGCAGGCGAGCCTGGGGGTCTTCGGTCTCCAGCGCTGCTGCGCAACGGCAGAGGGGCTGGTTAAGAAGAGAAGCAGCCCCCACCCCTCACCCACCCGCCAGCTCCTCCTGTGGAGACGGACAGGGAGCACCGGGCAGGGGAGCGGGGGAGGCGGCAGGGCGGGGGCTGCGGTCAGCCCGCCTTCATGAGCCTCTGGCTCTGCTGCCCACTGCAGCGAGGACCCTGGGCTCCCCGGGGGGGGGGGGGGGTTGTGGGGGCCAAGGAGGCTCCGTGCCAGGTGCCCTGGAGAGCTGCTGCAGGCCCCGGGCTGGGGTTCTGGCCTGGAAAGTGGACTATGGCCAGCCCAGAGCCAGGGCCAGCTGAGAAGGTACTGATGACCAGTCCCAGGGGCGTGGGCTTTATGGTGGGGAGAGGCAGGAGCACTGAGGGGTCTAGGGGAGCACTGAGGGGTTTATGGGGTCACTTAAGGGTTTAGGGGAGCACTGAGGAGTTCAGAGGAGCACTGAAGGGTTTAGGGGAGCATTGAGGGGTCTAGGGGAGCACTGGGGTTTAGGGGGAGCATCGAGGAGTTCGGAGAGCACTGAAGGGTTTAGGGGAGCACTGAGGAGTTCAGAGGAGCACTGAGGAGTGTGGAGGAGCACTGAGGGGTTTAGGGGAGCACTGAGAAATCCAGAGGAGCACTGAAGGATTTAGGAGAGCACTAAGGAGTTCGGAGGAGCACTGAGAGGTTTAGGGGAGCACCAAGGGGTCTAGGGGAGCATCGAGGAATTTGGGGAGTACTGAAGGGTTTAGGGGAGCACTGAGGAGTTCAGAGGAGCACTGAGGGCTTAAGGGAGCACTGAGGAGTTGGGAGGAGCACTGAGGAGTGCGGAGGAGCACTGAGGGGTTCAGGGGAGCACTGTTGGCCCCAGCAGACCACGCAGGACTCCATTTCACCTGCTTGGAGGCTTTTTCCAGAACCTTCTGCTGGAAAGTGGTTGTCTCAGAAGAATCCAGTGCCGTGGTGGGAGGCGCCCAGGGGTGCGGGCATCTCCCTGTCGTGGGGCCGGGTCAGCTCCCTGCACCAGGCTCAGGGTTTCTGGAGAAGACCCCGAAGTCTCAGGCTGATTCAGATTCAAGCTCTGCAACCGCATTCTGGGGCAGCCCGGGGACCTCAGGGGCCACACAAGGCCTGTTTGGTGCCAGTGTCCCCGCATCTCAGGGTGGGGGGGGAGGGAGGGACAGAAGGGAGGCGGGGGGGGGAAGGCCCCCCAGAGCAGTCTTTGAGAGCAGCTCCCCTCCCGGCAAGGGTGTCGGGGCGCACAGGGCAGTGCTGGGGACAGGGAGAGGCGACCCCGTACGTCCACCTGCTGCCGGCTCGTCAGAGCCCAACCTGAGCGGGCAGGAGCGGCAGAGGTGGAGGGCCCAGACTGCCCCTGGGGTGCTGGAGCTCCTGAGAGCCTGTGGCCACTCCCAGCTGCACCTGCTCAGCCGGCAGCGAAGGCGGCACCAGGGACACGCGCCCAGAGCTCAGTCGAGCCCTGGGAACCTGAAAGCCAATCTCTCTCTCTCTCTCTCTTTCTCCCTCTCTCTCCCTCTCTCCCTCTCTCCCTTTCTCTCTCCTTCCCTCTCTCCTCTCTCTCCCTCCCTCCTTTCTCTCTCCCTCCCTCTCTCTTTTCCTCTCCCTCTCTCCTCCTCCCTCTCTCCTCTCTCCTCCCTCTCTCCCTCTTTCCTCTCTCTCTCCCTCTCTCTCTCCCTCTCTCCCTCCCTCTCTCTCTCCCTCTGGTGGGTCTGTTTTATCCAGAGCGTGCTTCAAATCCGAGGGAACATTCCCCCTCTTCCGTGAAAGGGTCTAAGACATCTTAATGGCTTTCATATTCCTTGCTCCAAATATATTATTTCAACACAATAGTTTCTTTGCGGGAGAATCGCTTAAATGATTCAAAATGGATTTAAAAATATATTTCGAGTTTTAATTTTATGCACAGAACATTAATGAGCGGAGCGCCTTGGAGACTGCTTGTCAGTGTAAAGACTCACAATATTCTCGGCACAGATGTTATTCCAGCGAAATCCTTTTAGGGGGAAGAAACCAGTCACTTTTTTTTCCTTGAGGGATGTCAGGAAATATATCATCTTGAGAACATCTCTCGACCCCAGATTCCTGCAGAGTGTCACGGGGAGCCGGGCACGCCGTCCCCCGGACACCAGCTCTGACACTGCAGTGCGGGGACCCCTACCCGCTTCACCCTGAGCCCGGGACATGGACTCAGAGGACCCCAGTTCTCAGCATCCCCCGATGACGACCCGCTCGGCTTTGGGTCTGAGCATGAAGCCGGTGCCTGCATGCGTGACACACACGTGACAAGGACAACGATTCCCCTGCAGGGCAGGCCTGCAGGTGGGGGCAGGGGATTTTTCAAGCCCCCTCCCAGCTGCAGAAACACGGAGGCGGGGTGGGATTCTGCTCCCGGGAGGCACCTCTGAGGTGGGCTGAGGCGTTTGCCCGGAAGAACACGGAGCGGGACCCCTGCTCCCTGGGAGGTGGGCGCCCACCCGACCTCTGTCGGCATGCATGCGGGGGCGGGGGAGA